GAGGGAGGAGGGGGAGAGAGAGAGAGAGGGGGGGGAGAGAGAGAGATCCATTTTAACTTTTGCATTAAAATATCTCGAAAACTACAAGGGACACGAAAAAATATTTCAAATGAAAGTACAACGAATTTAGTATTTTGGTCACATTGTTTTTCCTCTAGATGAAGGCACCAAAAAGATATGAAGATCACTTCTACTTTTATAAATGGAGTTGTATAATTTCTTTACATAATATAATTCCTCTAATTCTTCTGCATATGAAGGTATAATTACATAACGTAGAAATATTGTGTGAAAAACTAATATATACTTTACGAAGTATTTCATTAATCTGGTACATGTTGCGATAAATTGTTAAATATCTTAAAAATTATTAATTTTTTGGTAATTACATCTTATAATACTTTCAGGAACAAAATAATGTGATGAATCGAATAGTATAATAAAAACATATATAGTTGTTTGTTCAAACAGTATTTTACCCACATATTCTTTTCTTAAGCAACTATGTGTATTCTTTACACCAATTAATTCGTATCATTATTTTGTTCGTAAAAGTATTAATATACGATTACAAAAAATTAATATTTAACATGTGCCAGAATGAAATATAAAATATCTCGTAAACTTGATTTTTCTATATCTCTACCTTGATACTTTTATATACAGAATAATTGAAGAGCATATTGTGTAAAAAAATTCACACAATTCCATTAAAAAAATTGATGTACATATCCTGGTATCTCCATGCAGAAAAAAAGCAACTAAAATACGTCCTTCTCGAACCGTTCTACTTTCATCTGAAACATTTTTGTACTTTTCGTATCTTTCGATGCCAAAGTTAAAATGAGACATCTGTGTGCGTGCGTGTGTGTGTGTGTGTGTATATATATATATATATATTACAGCTCCATCCGTTCGTACACTGCATCAAAATGACGGCCTCCCAATTAGAGGGAGGAGAGGTCGCTGTAGACCATCTAGACGTCGCGGACGACGCGGTAGACTTGCAACAATAAGATTAAATCCAACTCCAGAAATAGAATGTGAGAGAAATAACATATTTTTAATCATTAATCGCTGATACGTATTTTTTATTTAGTGTATTTATGAAGCTGACATGTAATATGATAAGATTTCCATTTGAATAGACATAATGTCATTTCTGTAGGGTGATATATTTGTGAATTATCATTAGTACAGTAACTCCGAATGTGCTGATGAAGAAAACGAAAGAATGGAGGAGCCAATCGCAAACGTAGAATCGTTTAGAACTGAAAACGTGACGAATGAGAGCATAAATGAAGGTATATTGTATGTACATATATTTTATTCATATATCATGAACATTATTGATAATTATAAAGTCATATGAGAGAGACTTTTTTATTTTCTTCAACGTATTTTTTATATATCTGGAGATGATTACGTTACATATTTATATAATATATATACACGCGCGTGTGTGTGTGTTTATCATTTTATGTATTTATTATTTTAATAGCTATATCTGACGATATTCGCCCACCTTTTCAAATTACTGGGAACAAGGTAATAGAGAATGGGGGAGGCACGGCAGGCCTCGCAGATATCGTGGACGGTGCGGTAGACTTGCAAGATTGAATTCAACAAATCGAATTCAACAAGTAAATGGTGAGAAATAACACGTTTATAATTCATCACTGATGCACCTGTATTATTGAATGTGTTTATATACAGTCTGTAAAGTAAGAGCGTGTACGGCATAAATGGCAGTTGGCTTAAATATCGTCCTAGTTTTTGTGTGAGTCGATAGATGGAACCTTTGTCGTGAATGTTTTGTCACAAAATATTCAGTTGGTGTCGAATTCTTATCTGAGAAACACGGTAACCGCTATGAGTGACGCATACACATCGCGCTACGAGGCTGTGTTTCTTTGTTCCCACCCGAAAGGACCAAAAATGTCGTATGTAACGGCTGCTAAATACATGGGAAAGTCAAAATCGTTCGTCTAAGTGGGTTCAGCAATATAAGAAGACAAAAAAATGTCGATGACTTGCCAGAACGTGGCTCGATATGCAAAGTGACGCCGAACATGGAAAAAAAAATTGTGAATTTGTTTAAGCGGAACCCGACCTTAACATTGCGACAAGGAGCAGCAAAATTAAAACAGAAGGGTATAGAAATATCACATACAACTATTCGAACCCATCTCCTTACGCATAACATCAAATATCGAAGCACAATGAAAAAACCACTGTTAGGCGAAAAACATGTGATGAAAAGACTCGCTTGGGCAAAGGAGAATTTGGACCGAGATTGGAGCAACGTGATTTTTACGGACGAAGCTTCTGTTTGGGGATATATTACCATCCGACGTTCCTGGTCAACCTTGACCAATAGATTAATACAACGGACCGTTAAACACCCTGTAAAAGTTCATCTTTGGGGCTGCTTTTCAAAACAGGGTTTTGGAGCATTACATCTGTTTACATACAATTTAAATGCTCCGAAAATGCTTAAAATTTATGAAAAGTATTTGTTGCCGACTGCTGAAC